CACTACTAGCCACTGACCGCCAACCAGAAAAACACCCATTTACCCCTACTCTTTGCTTTCTACTGGTCAACCAATCCTCTATCCATGCCAATACATTACCTGTAATACCGTGGAACTTTATCTTATGTAGCAGCCTTTGGTGTGGCACCTTGTCGAATGCCTTCTGGAAATCCAGATACACCACATCCACAGGTTCCCCATTGTCCACCATGCAAGTAATGTCCTCAAAGAATTCCACCAAATTAGTTAAACATGACCTACCCTTCATGAACCCATGCTGGGTGTTTCCAATGGGATAATTTATATCCAGATGTCTTGCTATTTCTTCCTTAATGATAGATTCAAGCATTTTCCCCACTACCGAAGTTAAGCTAACTGGCCTATAGGTACCTGCTTTTTGTCTACTTCCTTTTTTAAACAGTGGCATCACATTGGCTGTTTTCCAATCTGCGGGAACCACCCCAGAGTCCAGTGAATTTTGGTAAATAATTACTAGTGCATTTGCTATTTCCCCCATCACCTCTTTTAGTACCCTGGGATGCATTTCATCAGGGCCAGGAGACTTGTCTACCTTTAGCCCCATTAGCTTGTCCAGCACTGCCTCCTTAGTGATAATGATAGTTTCTAGGTCCTCGCCTGCTTTAACCTTCTTGCCATTAGTTTTTGGCATGTTATTTGTATCTTCCACTGTGAAGACCGACATGAAATAACTGTTTAATGTCTCGGCTATTTCCTCATTCCCAGTTATTAAAATTGGCCTTCTCATCCTCTAAAGGACCAATGTTTACCTTTGCCACTCTTTTACGATTTACATATTTGTAGAAACTTTTGCTGCCTGTTTTTATATTCTGAGCTAGTTTACTCTCATAATCTATCTTACTTTTCTTTATAACTTTTTTTGTGGCTTTCTGTTGGCCTTTAAAGATTTCCCAGTCTATTAGTTTCCCACTACTCTTTGCTTTTTTGTATGTGTTTTTTTTTCAATCTGATACTTTCCTTTATTTCCTTAGACATCCATGGCTGGCTCTCTCTTTTTCTACAGTTCTTCCTTATCACTGGAATATACTTCTGCGGAGCACTGTGAAAAATCGTTTTGAAAGTCCTCCACTGTTCCTCAATTGAACCATCATAAAGTTTTTGCTCCCATTCTACTTTAGCTAACTCCTCCCTCATTCCTTCATAGTCTCCTTTGTTTAAGCACAGGACATAGGTACTGGATTTAACCTTCTCACGCTCCATCTGTATTTTAAATTCAATCATACTGTGATCACTCCTTCCGAGAGGATCCCTAACTGTGAGATCATTAATTATTCCTGTCTCATTACACAGGACTAGATCTAGGATAGCTTGCTCCCTCGTAGGTTCCATTACATATTGTTCAAGGAAATTATCGCGGATGCATTCTATGAACCCCCTCCTCAAGGCTGCTATGACCGACCTGGTTTGACCAATCGATTTATAGATTAAAATCCCCCATGATAATTGCTGTACCATTTTTACACGCATTAGCTATTTCTATGTTTATTGCCTGCCCCACCACAATGTGATTATTTGGTAGCCTATAGACCACACCTATCAGTGACTTCTTCTCCCTGCTATTCCTAATTTCCACCATTTGTCAGCCCAAGCCTGGATATTGTCCAGGTCTTTCTGCATATCAATGCAGAGCACTCCAGTAACTGAAAAATCACAAATGGCACTGCATTAACATGTAATCATCAGCAAACATGCCCATTTCTGACCTTACGATGGTGGGAAAGGCCAATGTGAAAGCAGCTGAACATGGTTGTGTCTAGGACATGACAGTGAAGAAATCTCAGAGCTCTTGTAGTGCAGTGGTAATGTCCCTACACCTCTGAGCCAGAAGGACTGGGTGCTCACCTGCTGCAAAGGTGTGTAATGACAACTCTGAACAGGTTGATTAGTAAGTACCGACTTAAGGATCTCCTGCATTTGAAGCTGAGTTGACCGACCTCTAACAACTGCAACTCTGCATTCCTACTGACTTTAGTTTTGATAGGGTTCCTTGATGCCACACATAGTCCACTGCAGCCTTGATGTCAAGGGGAATTACTCTCAACTCCCCTCTGAAGGTCAGCTCTTACGGCCAGGTTTGGAAAAAGGCTATATAGTGAGGTTACGAGGTCAGTGGCTTTGGAGGTTCTCGCTCAAACCCACTGAGCATCAGTTAACGAACAGGTTATTGTGAAGCAAGTGCTGCTTGATAACAGTGTCAATGATCCCTTCTACTATTTTACTGATAATCAAGTGTAGACTGATAAGGCAGTAATTTGATAGGTGGATTTATCTTGCTTTTTTTTGTGCAGAACATACCTGAGCAATTTTCCACATTGTTGGGCGGTAATTAGTGTGGTAGCTTAACTGGAATACAATTAGATTAGAATTACATTTTATTGTCACATGTACTCAAGTATAGGAATACATGAGTACAGTGAAAAGTGTACAAAGTTGCCATTCTCAAGTGTCATCTTAGTTACAAACCAGAATTTTAAAAATAAACAGCAGAGATAAAAGAAAGCCAAAAGATAAGAAAGCTAAAAGGTAGGAAATACATCCAGATCTTAAAATAGAGAGAAGTGCTGGTGCTAAGAGCTGGATGTCACCAGTGCAAATGTGAAAACTAAAATGACAGCATCAACTGAAAGCACAAATGGGAACACATTGATGTCAAACATGGAGAGGCAAAGGATTAGTGTTTTGAGGACCAGACAGAAGCTGTTCCTGTCCAGTTACAACACTGGCATTTGACAACAGGTGACAACGTGGAAGATAGCCAACATATGTCCTGTACACAAAAAGCAGGGCAAATCCAACCCGGCAAAATACCACCTCATCAGTTTACAATGCTGTACTACTTGCAACCCTTCAGATACTAAAGCTGTCCATGTTCAAATGCAACGAGATTACGACAATATCCAAGTTTAGACTGACAAGTGGCAAATATCATTCACATCACACAAATGCCAGGCAATGTCCATCTCCAATCTAACCACTACCCCTTGACATCCAATGGTGTTATCATCACTGAATTCCCCACTATCAACATCCTGGGGTTACTACTGACCCAAAAATCAACTAGAATCACCTCATAAATACAGTGACGACAAGAGCAGGTCAGAGGCTAGGAATCTTACAACGAGTAACTCATCTTCTAATTTCCCAAAACCTGTTCATCATGCACAAGGCACAAGTCATGGCTGAGATGGAATACTCCCCATTCGCCTGGGTGCAGCTCCAACAACACTCAAGAAGCTTGACACCATCCAAGACAAAGCAGACCGTTTGATTGGCACCACATTCACAAGCATCCCTCCCTTTGGCACGGGCCCTCAGTAGCAGCAGTGTGTGCTGTCAACAAGATGCACTGCAGGAATTTGCCAAAGATGCTTAGGCAACACCTTCTAAATTTATAACTACTTCCATTCAGAAAGACGGCCGCAGCAGATACATGGGAACACCAACATCTCCAAGTTCCCTGCCAAGCCACTCATCATCCTGACTCAGAAATATATCATCATTCCTTCACTGATCCTGGGTCAAAATCATGGAATTCCCTCCCTAATGACATTGTGGGTCTACCTACTGCATATGGACTGCAGCAGTTCACCTCTACTTTCACTAGGGCAACGAGGGTTAGGCAACAAATTCTGGCCAGCCAACGATGCCCACGTCCCACAGTGAATTAACAAAAAAAGCACCAGAGCAGAAAGAGAAGTCACTGCAAGGGATTCTCTGGTTACAATCAGATAGACAAGGATAGTAAAATGAAAGAATAGTCCCATCAGCTGCACTATGGTGGAAAGACGTCAGAAAACAATGGTGTGGTCAAAGGTTTAAGAAGAAGGTAAAGTCACCAAAGTCCCAGAGAACCTTTAGAGAGAGATGGCTTGTAGTGAACTTAACATGTGTCACCACGGTTCAGGCAATAGGAAAGGTTGAGAAGGTGGGACCTTCACAGTGACCTCCATCGGTAGAGGAAATTGAACCTTTGCTGTTGGTGTCACTCTGCATCGCAAACCAGCTGTCTTGTCAATTGAGCTAACCAATCCCCAACTGTGGCCAATTCTGTCAAAGGTTGCACAAAGGTCAGCAGGATCAGGGGAGGGCAACTTTACCCTCATAACAGTCATATAGGATGTTATTTGTAACTTTGATGAAATTTTTTTGGTACTTCGACAGGGGCAGAAACCTGATTGGGGGTATTCAAACATGGTATTTCCGCAAATATATCTTCTTCAAGGCAGTTTCCCAAATAAACTTATAGCTGCTGAAGGCAACATTCACTTACAATGACCAACTATCAGACTGTAGGCACTAGGAGGTGGCAGTATTCTTGCCAAGTCCACAGATGGAGAAAAATACAACTAATACCACATTAAAAATGGGTACTGATCTGGAGGTGACCAACAATCAGATTGTCGGCACTAAGAGGTGGCAGTATTATTGCCAAGTCCACAGATTGAGAAAAATGCAACTAATTCCTCATTAAAAACATTTCTGGCATTCTCAGCTAAGTGCTTTGGAGATGGGAGGATTACTGCAGATTTTTAAAAAGTGAGGGACAAAACTGAAAAGAAAGAAAAGTTTCAATTATTGGTGAACATAGGGGATCAGGAGGGTAAATTGGGTGATCAGCTGTTTCGTCAGAATAGGATTGTGGGAACATGAGGTGGGTCTGATGGAAAAGATGAGCCTAGAGAGGACATGAGAAGAGATAGGTTTAGAAAAAAACAAACAAACAATCTTTAGTTGAGAAAAGAATCCAACTCTTTGACCAAGCATTTGACTGTCTACCCTAATACTTGTGAAATGCCTAGGTAATTTGCTATATGAATACAATCGGTGTTGGAGGAAACTACATATATAAAAAATGTTTTAAGAACACATTACAAAATAAATCATTTGAATCTTTGTAATTTGTCCTTGTTAGGTCATAGCAAATTGGGATAAATACAAACAGTTGACTGACACAAACCTACCTGGAATGAGCTGCAGGTGCTGCTGGTCTTTCTGGCCTTTTAGGAGGCAACGTATTTGGTCTGTTCAAAGAATTGGTCTTGGGAGGCAAAGGTTTCTTCGGTGGTATTGCAGGTACTGAAGGTTTAGACAGTTCTATAGATTTCTGATCTCTTTCTGACTTTTCTTCTAAAAAGAAGAAAACAAACATTATAGTGTCTATTCTTCACAGCAGTCTGCAAAACAATTCTAAAATCATTTCCTCTTTTATAAAGTATACAATTAGATAAATATCACTCTTAATAGACAAAGTAGAAAAGTACGACTAGAATTATTTCTGCAAACATATCTTCTTCAAGGCAGTTTCCCAAATAAACTTATAGCTGCTCAAAGCAACATTCACTTACAATGACCAACTATCAGACTGTAGGCACTAGGAGGTGGCAGTATTCTTGCCAAGTCCACAGATGGAGAAAAATACAACTAATACCACATTAAAAACATTTCTGACATTCTCAGCTGTTCTTTGTTCACCACAAGATTAGGATTTTGTTCTCTAAACAGTCTATCCAAAATAGTTGTCTCACTAAAATTACAAACTCTAGCAACTTACACAAATATAGGCATGGGCTGAATTATTGATGAAAGTGATATTAAATGTCAATTTCCAGAGCTAATGATTTGATATAGCTTTTGTGTATGTCAATGCAAAGCTCCAAATCGAATAACCCTCATTCACTATTGGCAGAGTTCTCAAACAACGGAGAATTCACAGCCTTGGTTAAAGAAAACATGCACGCAGCTTCTGAAATTCTAAGCTGCTGATTTCAACTGGATGGTCAGGTGCAAGATAAAAACTATGGTGAATTGTACGAACACTGTCTCCCCATTCCACCACTACAGAGACAAAGATATTGAGCTGAATCTTACTTTTTTTGGGTTACGTGACAATTGTGTCAGATTTCCACACCCCCCACCCTCCTCCAAGGCTTTTGCCACGAAGCTTAGCAAAATTTCTCATTGTATCTTAACCAAATTCGCCTCATTCGCTACTTACCTGCCTCTATAGTGTCCATCTTATCCAAATCTATCCCCATCTTAACATACTCGTTCCTAGAACAATTTGCCACTCAGTGGACATCTGCCAAAAGACAAGCAGCCTTGGCACCAAGCCACCTTTTAAACGCTGCTATACACCTGGGTGAGCATTGGAAATCCAGCATGGGCCCTCACCTACAACGTAATGGTACAGCAGCCACAAATCAACTCTGCTCATGGTGACACTACATTGAACACACAATTCCATTCTCTCACCCGTCATTGTTTAAGCTTTGCCACGCACTTTACCTGTCCTTAAGGTACATCCCATTTTCATTGCTATGCTGTACCCAGAACCCCTGGAGATTTGCATTTTGTCATTGTCCAGTAAGGGAACATTGCATACAAACAGAGCTTTTATTTGCATTTTATTGACCATTTTATTTTTCATAGTGGTCTGCTACACCCAGTTCTCATTGACCAGAACCAGGTGTCATTCTGGTCTTATGTTGTTTGTAGTATGAGACGCAGCTAAACTCCATCACGTACAAAGAGAGTTCCATTTTCCTCAAAAAGTCCATCCTCCTTTTCAGAAGGATACCCCATTCCCAGAGGCACAAAGCACATCAGGGTGATGCGACATACTTTGTCCAGATTATAGTGGAGCTCTCTTACCCCCAACTGATCCAGACTGGTAAGAGCTTGCACAGATGGCATGTGATGTTTTTTCAAATTACTCATGGGACGTGGACATTGCTGGCTAGTCAGCATCTACTGCCCTTCCCTAGTTGCCTTGAGGTGGTGGTGGTGAGCTGCCCTCTTGAAATGCTGCACTCCATATATCAGAGGTTGACCCACAATGTTCTTAGGGAGGGAACTGGAGAGCTGAATGCCCTACTCCTGCTCCTACTTTATATGTTTCTATGTTGGACTCCAAAATCTATGAAGTCTCAATACATCAGGTCAAACATAGACAAGAAAACTGCTAATTACCAATTACTCCCACTCATCACTAAAAGTAGTTTGGTAGAACCAATACTGACCGAGCTGGTTGAGCCCTCAAGGAGACAGATGCTAGAGATGCTAGGGTCTCTAGCAGTTGCAAAGTAACCAAAAACGGGCAAAGATCTGCATGTCCTGCCCTTACCTTCATTCTCCTACCTGTCACCACTGCACAGCCCATGGGGAGACAAACTTCCATCTTCAAATTGAGGAAAGCATCTATCGTGTTGTGTGGCATTAACACTGTGCTAAATGGGATAGGTTTTGATCAAATCCAGCGACTTTAAGCTAGGCATTCATGAGGGACAATGAGCCATTAGCATCAGAATCGTGTTTAGTCACAATCTGTAACCTCATTTTTTCACTTTTTCATTACCATCAGCCAGGGGTTTAACCCTGATTCAATGAAGAATGCTACAGCGTATGCCAGGAGCTGCACAAGCCACACCTAAAATTTAGTTGTCAACTTGGTGAAGCAACAGCACAGGATACAGTGAAAACCTATGGATCAGATCAAAGTTCTGCGTCCTGCCGCATCCACTTGTGAATGGTGATGGACAATTAAACAACCAAATGAAGGGTGGAGGTTTCACAGATAGCTCCACTTTCAATGACGAGGGAGTCCAGCACATCAGTGCAAAGGCAGATCTCAAGTATTTTTGGCCAATTTTAGCCAAAAGAGCCATGAGGGTGACCCATCTTGGTCTACCATCAAGATCCCCAAAAATCACAGGTGTCAATCTTCAACCAATACATTGCACAATATCACAAAACACCTGAATACTACAAAAGCCACAGATCCTGACAACATTCTGGCAATTAAGCTGAAGATCTGTGCTCCAGAACTAGCTGCATCACTAGGCAAGCTGTTCCAGTACAGCTACAACACTGGTATTTACCAGACAATGCAGAAAATTGCAGAGCCACATTCTGTACACAAAAACAGGACAACTTCAACGAACCAATTGCTGCCCTATCAATCTACTCTTGATTGTCAGCCATGTGATGGAAAGGGTCAAGCGGTACATGCAAAACTGTAACCAGCTCACTGATGCTCTGTCTCTATTCTATCAGGACAACTTGGCTCCTGACCTCATTACAGGCTTGGTCCAAACATGGACAAAGGAACTGAACTCCAGAAGTGTGGGGAGAGTGACTGCCCTTGACATTAACGCAACATTCTACTAAGTGTGGCATCAAGGAGCCATAGCAAAACTAGAGTGAATGACGATCAGGGAAAATCTCTCTGCTGGTTGGAGTCATACCTAGCACAAAGGAAGATGGCTCAGATTGTTGGCAGTCAAACATCTCTGGTTCTTCAGGATCGTGTCTTAGGCCCAACCTCTTCAGCAGCTTCATCAATGATCTTCCCTCCCTCATAAGGTCAGAGGTGAGGGTGTTTACTGATGACTGCACAATGTTTACCATGATTTGAGACACTGTAGATACTCAACATTTTAAAGATATGCAAAACCAGTATACTACAACCTGGTAAGATATACTCAGCAAAGCACCCATGCTATTTTTTTTTTAAAACTGTCTGAATATGGACAAAGCCAGCATTTATTAACCTGAGAAGGTAGCAGCGGCCTTATTCTTGACCTGCTGGTAACAGTTTAACTGCTTAGCTTAGCCAATTCAGAGTCAGAGTCAATCTTATTGTTGCAAGATGAGTTACATTTAAGTAAAATAAAAATTATGGAACGTTAGTGGGCAGGTTATAAAAACAGCTAAATGCTAATTAATGTTGGCATTTATCTCAAGAGGGATGGAAGTTATGCTACACCCACATGAAGCTTACTTGCTACCACAGTTAGAGGACTGTATCCAGTTCAGGGCACTAAATCTCAGGAACGATATGCAAGATCTGGAAAGGGTACAGCAAAATCAAAGTAACAAGCATCAAATTCTGAGGACAGTTTAAATGGAATAGGTTTGTATTGGTTTAACTACAAAAAAGAAAATGAAAATTTAATTGCTATGATTTCACATGAAAGAAAGGAAGTAGAAGTGTCATTATTCTGAACTTGAGAAAACAACAAATGTCCAGCCATAAATCAAAAGGTTCAGGATACAAGGCTAAGTAGGTCAGCAACTATCCCCAAGGCAACCTACATGAATTTCTTGGGGAATACCACAGGATGCAGCTGAATACAATTATAGTATTTACTATAATGAGAAAGGTGACAGCTCCAGTCCTGTCTCAATTTAATTTCTCCACGCTGCAATTACTGGACAGCCAGCCTCATATCATTTCCCACCTCTCATACTCACTGATGAGAGGAGCTGCAAGACAGATAGTTGTTTAATTCAACCACGTGCCCTTAGGATTTCTGTATCCATGAGGACTCTCTTGCTCACGGTATTGATCATTCAAAGCATATTTCCTATGGATGTGTGCTTCCTAGAACAATGATGTCCGCTGTTATAAATAACTCCATTCACACCAGATAACCCTGATTTGACCAGCCAAAAGTGTAGCTCAAATTTGCTCGGTTTCTGCAGCTACAGTAACAGCAAACTGAAAAACTGTGCATGGACTTCTGAGTGATGTAAGTAGCCTTAGACAGAAAAAATAGCTATTATTTCATATCTTCAATGCATCTCAACTATAATACATCCCAAGATGAAAACAGGCAGTAAATTTCATACCTTTGTCCTCTATCCTGGTTGGGAGAGAGTCCGGTCTTTCTGGAGGCATTCTTTTTGCTTCATTCTTCTTGTCCACTAACGAACCATCAAATTTGGATCCTAGCAAACCAAAAGCACCATGTACTTTATTACAGAAGCTACTACAGTGTGAAAATAATCTAGAAAAATCCACAGAAGCTCCTGCATTTATCCTTCCAGAAACATTGTGAACTTGAACAATTGTCAGAACAAAGAATTGTCAAGCTCTTAGGTGAAAACACATCATCAGTGAAGTGTTGCACTTTGGGAGCACTACCGTACTACTATAATTTTCTACCTTATTTTGTTGCAACTACTCCGCACACGGGTGTCTTCATACAGAGCACCACTGGATCAGCTCATTCAGTTCTACCATTGGTTTCAATCAAGGAAAAAAATGCATTTCTGTTCACAAATGAAGTTCCTGAACATTCAGTTACATGTTAGACTCATTATACTGCAAGTTATTGAGACTGATTTTATTTCCCACACTATTCCACAGAATCTACAAAAACAGAAACCTTTGAATTGCATCTATCTCAAAGCAGAGTTTTAAACAAAACCAAAAGTAAGAAACGCCACTGATATGAGTCAGCGAAACTGGATTCTGTCTCTGCACAGCTTATTATTATTCCTGCTGCAGGAATTTGGACCACAATGCTCATGAGAAGAAAGCAGTTTTCCTATGAATCAACAGTGGCTGCCTGTTCTCAGTACAAGAATATCAGAGCAGAACAATTCTGACCAAACAGTTTATCCTTTTGGTGTCAGAAATGATTAAAAAGTAGTGAGTTTTCATAGCTCTGGGTGACACAGAATAGCGCTTTAATTACACTTTATGCATTTCAATTTATTTAATCTGACTGGCATAAACTGATTCTAACTGATATTCCAGTGCTGTTGAATTCTGTGCCTACAAAATACTGCTTCCTGACTATCTTAATGACAGTACTATTTGAGGGAAAAAAAGAAGAAATTTGTCTTCTCCAAATAATAGAATTACCAAATGGTTACAGCACAGGAGAGGGCATGCAATTCATCATGTCTGAGGTTGCTTTCTGCAAGAACATCTCAGCTAGACCCACTCACTTAACTTTTTCACACAGCACTGTAATATATTTTTCTTTCAAAATGAATTGAATAATCATGAAATAATATACAAAAACCCTGAAAGTTGAACTAAAATTAACATGATGATAAAGGTTCATCTTACGGTATGCACATACCAAATAATACATTAATGTAGCAGTTATGTCCTGAAGCAGTAGTCTGGAAACTTGGACTAATAATCCAATTTTTAGAAAAAGAAAATAAAAATCTTAGTAAAAATACTAGTGAAAGTCACCATGAAGCTGTCAAACTGTCAAAAAAACACAATAAATGTTCCTCCAGTGAAAGAAACTTACAGTCCATACAGATTCTATCCCATATGTGGCTCCAGATCCATGTAAATGGGTTGGACATTTTACTGACCCTTAAGTGATCTATTTTTAGTGATGAGGAAGCTAAGAATACCAATAAAATCATAAGAAGCCAGAGCAGTAGGGCATTTAGCCCATCAAGTCCTCTCTGCCATTCAATGAATTCAGGCAGCTCTGATAACCCTAAACTCCACTTCACTGCCTTCTTGCCATAACCCTCGAAACCCTTTAATCCTAGATTAAAAGTCTATCGCAGCCTTGAACATACTTATTGACAAAGCCTCAACAGCCTTCTGCAGTAAATGCCACAAATTCTCCACCCCGAGTTCTGAGGAAGGATCACCGGACCCGAAACGTTAACTCTGGTTTTTCCTTCACAGATGCTGTTTGTTCCTGATTTACAGCATCCGCAATTCTTTCAGTCTTTATTCCGTTGGCCTTCCTAATTACATGCTGCACCTGTGTGCTAGCTTTCTTTATTTTGGGTACAACTAGCGCCCCCCCCATTCCACGGCTAGTTTTCTCCATTTAAGTAATGTTGTTCTTTTGTTCTCCCTTCCAAAATTAACAATTTCACATTTTCCGCCATTATGTTCGATCTACACCGTTCTGTCTACTTACTTAACTCTGTGTAAACGGTTTATATCTCCTTCACAACTTACCTTTCTACCTGAGAGATAGTCAGAACTGCCAATGTTGAAGTCTGAGATAACACAGTGTGGAACTGGAGGAACACAGCATGCCAGGCAGCATCAGAGGAACAGGAAAGCTGACGTTTCGGGTCAGGACCCTTCTTCAGAAAG